AGGTGTGACCTTTTATGCATATTTACCTAATTTTCAACCGATTTTAATGCTTTTTTTAAATTTACTCGTAATAAATTGCTTTACAATCGTATCGTGCCCTTTTTTTAAATTAGACCTTTGATTCAAAATGGCGTAATCAAAATGGTTATCAGAAATATGGAAATTGATATTGAATATTATTGTACCAAACTAAGTATATGCGGGTTTTAGGGATCCGTAATAATATATCTGTGTTAAAATGGTAATATTTGCCACTAAAAAAGACCTGAAGTGGGTCGAAATCTTTCACGACTCTTTGATATCTTTACAATATCAATACATTCAGATCGCGTTTTCATATTAGTACATATTACCCGATTATATGTAAATTTCACAATTTAACATAAAATTTATATAGCTGCCAAAATATGAAATTATAACCATAATGTAAAAACAAAAATATAATAACACTAAAGTCCCCTTGTTGCGGTAAGCATATTCGCAAAAGGGATTCAAATATGGCGGGATTTTGTATTTTCTGTTTGTGACGTGAACGTAGCGCGCTTCTAGGGAAAGAGGCGCTGACCGAAGTTAGTTAGTAAGAAACTATCAAGCCGAGCACAGGCTCGCGCATCCGATACGCAGTTTATTTTGTAATAACCAATAAATTGAGTAATATCACGTCAACCGTGTCGGATTTATTCGATCAACACGTGCCATGCACCGGTCTTCACTTGAAGACACAACATTTCTGGTCCTTCGAGCCGGATACTTTTCCGGGCAATCACGGAAATTTCATCTCTCGCCAGCGGCTCGTGCTTGAGTTGCCGAGAGAAGCAGCATAAGGCGACAGTACTATCGTCGTGGGTATAGGCTGCGAGCATTATCTCGCCGTGCGCTAAATATTCTCAGTCAAGCGCTTGGGTGCGAGTCTCCCAGCGCATATAGCATCAATAAAGGTACGAGCTTTCAGGCCTCATAAAAGGCATTCGGCGTACGTGACAAACGTTCGCCATATTGCATCATCCTCATAGTACGGCAGCGCCGAGGATTGGCGCACCAGCGCAAGGTGCCACATCAAGTATCGCGGTATCGTGGCGCAAGAGGTTAGATTGGCGCGAGAAAACTTTCTGAGCGGCCGCATTGTGATTCAACGCTACATCCAACATGACCGACTCAGAGAGCAAGCTAAAGGAAGGCAAGGCAAAGCGTAAACAAGTAAAGGGAAGTCTCACAAGACAGCACACGTACTTATCCGAAGTGAACGTAACAGAAGTATCGATAATCGAATTACGTCAACGACTGCAAAAGGTGTCTGAGCTTTGGGGTGCCTTCGAGGAAGCCCAATCAGCTATCGAGGAGTGCGAGCACGAGGAGAAATATGATTCGATCCATCTTGAAGTAAGAAAAGGGTTCGAAGATAGGTATTTTGCAGCCACTGTGGGACTGGAGACGCTGATTACGAGAAAACTTGAAGGTACACGGACTACTACTCAGCTGCGGCGGGACCTTACACAGAATGTCACCGGACGCAGGGAGACGACACTTTCGCAGGGAAGTAACCTTACAAATGAGCATTTGAAATTACCGCGTATTACGTTACCAGAATTTTCGGGTAAATATGATGACTGGATTCCATTTCGAAATATGTTTCAGAGTATGTTTCACGATAATCTCACAATTCCAAATACACAAAAAATGCAATTCTTACTCGCATCATTGACGGGCGAAGCAAAAGGTCTGGTTAGTTCGCTCGAGCCTTCGGACGAGAATTACTTGGAGGCTTGGCAGATGCTGAAAGACAGATACGACGATGACAGCGCCATAATACAGCGGCATGTTAAGTCATTGTTCGAGCAGCCTGTCTTGCCCAGGGAGAATCATCGTGCCCTTAGACGAATGCTAGACAATATGTTGAAGCACATACGTGCTCTCAAGGCGCTGAAGAGGCTCACCGACAAATGGGACGACTTGCTAATCCAGCTGCTGACAAGTCGGTTGGATCAAGTCACGAACAAGGAATGGGAAACGTCGTTGAAGAAAGGAGAAATACCCACGTTCACGCAGCTGACAGAATTTCTTTCGCAGCGATGTAGAGCCTTGGAAGCATCGTCACGTACACAGCGCTCTGGACCACTGGCAGTAAAAGGAGCCTCCCATGAGCAAGGCAAGGAAACCACGGCGCATGTAGCCACAACAAACGTTATGTGCGCACATTGTGGAAAAGGAGACCACTCGATTTATAAATGCAACAACTACTTGGAATTGGGTGTGGATCAGCGAATAAAGGAGGCAAAGTCACGCAAGCTGTGTCTAAACTGCTTGAAGGTCGCGACGCATCAGGCAAAGCAGTGCGGTTCTGGATCTTGTAGAAAGTGCGGCAAGCGGCACAACACGCTGCTGCATTTGGAGCAGGCGGCCATTCAGGAGGAGCCGGCGGGCGCGAAGCTATCAGCTGAGGACAAAATAAAGGTAGTGGCCACGAGTGTAAATCACTCAGCAAGCCATCAAGGGGGAAGCAAGTACTCCTGGCAACGGCAATGGTCTACATCCTGAACGCGAAGGGCAGGCAGATACCTTGTCGAGCGCTACTGGACAATGGTTCACAATCCTGTTTTATCACGGACAACTGTGTCGAAAGGCTGGGCATTAAACGACATGGTACATACATGCCGATCTCTGGTTTAGGCGAATTGTCCACGCAAACACGCACCTTGGTAAAGGTGACTTTACAATCAAGAATCAATGGATTTCAAGTTAATCTTGACTGTCTGGTGATCGGGAAGATTACGCAAAATATTCCAGTCAATCGTCTGAGCTTGCAAGAACTTCGGATTCCTGAGGGCATTACATTGGCAGACCCCGACTTTGACAAGCCATCGCACGTGGACTTGCTACTAGGCGCTGAAGTATTCTTCGAGTTACTATGCATCGGAAAAATTAAAATTGCAGATGGTCAACCGACATGGCAGAAAACGCTGCTAGGATGGATCGTGTCCGGCAGTTTATTGGTCGAGCCACAAACAAGTAAGGCCACAATTTGCGGCTTGGACGTCAATGAGCAGCTTAATGAGAATCTCGCACGCTTCTGGCAGATTGAGCACACGCAGCGGCAAAATACGCGAACACCCGAGGAGCGCATACGCGAAGGGCATTTTGCGCAGACGTACACACGCAACTCCGATGGAAGATTTAAGGTAACGCTACCCACGAAGCAGGGGGAGCTGCACAAGTTAGGAGAGTCGCGGGATATTGCACTGCGGCGATTTGGTGTCCTGGAGCGAAGATTGGAGAGAGACCCTCAATTGAAGATGGTCTATGCGAATTTTATTCACGAATACCTTGAGTTAAAACATATGAGAGAGCTAAAATCCGAGGACGCAGCATGGTATCGGCGGCCACATTATTACTTGCCACACCACTGCGTGATAAAGGAAGCGAGCAATACTACTAGACTGAGAGTGGTATTTGATGCATCCAGCAAAACCACATCTGGATACTCTTTAAACGACGTCTTGATGGTAGGTCCTGTTCTACAGCAGGAGTTATTTTCAATACTGGTACGTCTTAGAGGCTTCGAGTACGTCTTGACGGCAGACATAGCCAAAATGTACCGGCAGGTACTGCTGAATGAAGCTCAGGTTTCTCTGCAGCGTATTGTCTGGCGCGATCAACCCAGTGAAGATATCAAGACTTACGAGCTATTAACATTGACTTACGGGACCGCTTCTGCATCATTTTTGGCAACCAAGGTTATACAGCAGCTCGCCGATTTGGAGGAGGATCATTTCCCCAAGGGCGCCGCGATAGCCCGAAGAGATTTTTACATTGATGATTTAATAACGGGCGCCAATTCAAAGGAAGAAGCAATAATAATTCGTGATCAAACCATAGCATTGCTACAGAAAGGAGGTTTTACACTCAGAAAGTGGTCGTCCAACAGCCAAGAACTTCTGAAGGGTTTACCTGAGGCGTCCACAGATAATAACATATTGGAGCTGGACAAGGATGGGACAGCGAAGACATTAGGAATAAAATGGAACCCTGAAAAGGACGTATTCCAGTATACGATCGCGTTGGAAACACCAGCACGAGGAGTTTGCACAAAAAGGTCCATTCTGGCTAGCATTTCCCAGATTTTCGATCCGCTCGGACTTTTGGGACCAGTTATAGTCAACGCTAAGCTAATAATTCAAAAGCTTTGGAAACTAAAAATCGATTGGGACGAGTCCTTGCCATCCGAAATACACACGGAGTGGTTGGACTACGTCATAAAAATGCAAGATCTCGGCGGAATCGCCTACCCCGCAAGGCGATCGGTTCCGGCACTAACTTACAGTTTGACCTTCACGGATTCTGCGACGCAAGTGAACGAGCCTACGGCGCATGCATCTACATACGGAGCAGCGATACTCACGGTTTTATACAAGCACAATTAATATGCTCCAAATCCCGTGTGGCTCCCGTTAAAGCGATATCTATCCCAAGATTGGAATTGTGCGGTGCTCAATTACTCACTCAATTGATGGACAGGGTGAAGAGCTCATTGGATATTCATATTAACAAATGCTATTATTGGACGGACTCATCGATAGTTCTGCATTGGCTCAAAGGTACAAACAAAAAACTGCCAGTCTTCGTCGCTCACAGAGTAGGCGAGATACAAGAAATGAGCACGGTAGAGAATTGGAACCACGTCGGAACCAAGGAAAATCCAGCGGATTTAATCTCCAGGGGCGTATCTCCGAGGGAATTAGTAAAATCAAGTCTTTGGTGGAAGGGGCCTACATGGTTGGAGGACGACGGGTTAATAAGGTGCCGTTTAGAGGTCCAGGAAATAGATGACAGCCGACTGGACGAAGCGGACCGATCAGAGATCATCGCAATGCTCGTACATGAAGATATTGACTTATTTACCAGATTCTCCACATTCAACAAATTAGTAAGAGTGACGGCTACGTGCTTACGGTTCGCGCAGCTTTGCAGAAAGCAGTACAGTGGCGAAGCTTCAGGCCCTTTATCAGTCGTGGAAATTGAGTATGCCAGGAGGAGTCTTATCAAGGGAGCGCAAAGGGCGTATTTCTCCAGCGAGTTAGAGGCTCTGAAGGACGGCCGAGCAGTGTCGGGCAGAAGCAACCTAAGAGATATGAATCCCTTCATCGATGCAGATGGGCTACTTCGAGTCGGCGGCAGGTTGAGGCACTCTAGGCTTCAACATGACGCTAAGCATCCAATCTTGCTGCCACGCTGTTCAAGGTTAACCGAGTTAATCATCGAGCAGGAGCACAAGAAGCTTTTGCATGCAGGAGTAGAAGCAACTCTTGCAGCCATTCGGCTAAGTTATTGGCCGATCAGGGCGCGCGGAACCATCAAGAGGATTATTCGTCAATGTGTTGTCTGCTTTAAGGCTAGACCACGTTTATCAGAGCAATTGATGGGTGACCTTCCATCCTGCCGGGTGACGCCAAGCAGACCATTCAGCAACACGGGTGTGGACTTTTGCGGACCAATATATATCAAGGAGGGCAAACGTATCAAGGCCTACGTGGCAGTCTTCATATGCATGGCTACAAAGGCGGTGCATCTTGAAGTGGTGTCAGAATTGTCGGACGCCTTCCTTAATTCCTTTAAGCGCTTTATTGGTCGCAGGGGAAGGCCCACCGACGTATTCTCGGACAACGGAACCAACTTCGTAGGTGCGAATCGTGAATTGGAGGAATTGAGAAATCTATTGGCCAAGGAGGAGCATCAACGCAAGATAGTGGACGCGACATCATCAGATGGAATAAAATGGCATTTTATACCGCCACGAGCCCCGCATTTTGGAGGGTTGTGGGAGGCGGCTGTAAAGTCGTTTAAGGCTCATTTTTGCAAGGTAGCATCGGAGGCTGCTCTCAGTTTTGAAGAGGCAACTACGCTCGTGATACAAGTGGAGGCAATACTCAATTCGAGACTGCTGATAGCACTCTCCTCGGACCCTAATGACCTATCTTATATTTCCCCAGGTCATTTTCTGATAGGCGACGCGTTAGTAGCGTACCCGGAGCCTGATTTGGCTCACATTAAGATTGGCCGGCTATCAAGATGGCAGCGAGTGGAGCAAATCCGGCAGCATTTTTGGCAGCGCTGGTCGTCAGAATACTTGCTGCAGCTCCAGCGACGCTCTAAGTGGACGATGAATCGGGGTATGCAGCTGCAGGTCGGGCAGCTGGTTCTCTGCAGGGAGGATGGATTGCCCCCCTTAAAATGGTTGCTAGGGAGGGTGCAAGAAGTTTGTCCCGGAAACGACGGAATTGTCAGAGCCGCCGTTATCAAGACATCTAAGGGAGCGTTTAAAAGGCCAGCAGTAAGGTTGAGCATTATGCCGTTCGAGCAATGTTCCGACAGAGCGGCAGATTGAATAGCTTGTAATATCGTTTATAATATACAATATTTAATCATATAACCTTTAATATAGCTTAACATATAAACTTTAAGATAGTTTAGCGTATAGCTTTTAATACTGTGGCATTATTCGGGCCATTTCAGAGACAATTATATTTCTTCTTCCGTTTTTTGAGTTGATACGATCAAATTTTTGTTTGTGCGTAAGGTGATTGCAACGTGAACGAATGTTGTCCAATTTCCGCGTTGAAATAAAATTTTAATTCTTTACAAATCGTGACATTAGGTTATAAGTTGTTAAGTCAGGTGTTTAGTTGATAAGCAAGGGTTATCAAGGCGCGCGGTATGTTGCGGTAAGCATATTCGCAAAAGGGATTCAAATATGGCGGGATTTTGTATTTTCTGTTTGTGACGTGAACGTAGCGCGCTTCTAGGGAAAGAGGCGCTGACCGAAGTTAGTTAGTAAGAAACTGTCAAGCCGAGCACAGGCTCGCGCATCCGATACGCAGTTTATTTTGTAATAACCAATAAATTGAGTAATACCACGTCAACCGTGTCGGATTTATTCGATCAACACGTGCCATGCACCGGTCTTCACTTGAAGACACAACACCCCTTTTATTTATTGTCAAGATATCGGACGTGCCAGAATTTATATTTACTTTTTATTATTTTGTTTTCTTTATTTTTGTTTTTGTACTTTTCTTTTTTGTTGTTTTTGTATTTTAATATTTTTTTGTAAGTAAATATATATTTTTTATTATACAGGGTGTCTTGAAATTCGCGAATCAAAATACCATAGCAAGAAAGTCGTCGAAAAAATAAATTAAAAAGTTATTTGCCATTTTTCGTTCCGAGCAGTACTTTTTTTAGATAAAAAGGTTCAAAACAGGCCAATCATACCTTACGGTTGAACGGAAACCTGTCCGCGAGTCGCGCGTCGATAGTGTTAGTGCATTAAGAGAGGGAGAGGGAGAGGGAGAGGGAGGAGGAGGGGGAGGGGAGGGGAGGGGAGAGAGAGAGAGAGAGAGAGAGAGAGAGAGAGAGAGAGAGAGA